TGTACTGGAGGTTTAAGCCGGTGCAATAAGGCAAGAAAACAAGAAAGAAAAAGCATCCAGGTTGGAAAGGAAGAAGAAAAGCTCTAGTCACAGATAACATGATCATCTGTGTAGAAAATGCAATGGAATCTACAAAAAGCTACGAGAAGTAATGTGAATTTAGCAAGGTTGCAGGATATAAGATCAATATAAGAATCGATTTGTTTTTAGTTGCTTATCCTCAATCTTGTCACAACTAGACCAGTTTGACTGGAGCCCAGGATGAGTGGAGGGTAGTGGTGGTGTATGAAATTGGAAAGGCAGGTTGAAACTCAGTTTGATGACATAAGTTAACATGGAATGCTTTTGCTCATACTTTCTGTCCATCTGTCCCCTTCCTCCCTCCTTTCCTTCCCACCTTTTCTTCCTTTTCTCTTTCCTTCTTTCCTTTTTTTCATTCTTTTCTTTTCCCCTTCTCTCTTTCTTATTAGTTTGTTGGCATAAACAACTTTTCTCCATGAAAAAAGGTAGAATTTTGTTTCTTAAAAACAAACGTTTTTATCTGTTGAGTTAAATAAACAAAATGACCATAGCTAAGTTGCTTTGAGCTCACAGGGACCATTCCGTGAAAGGAGTTCCCAAAGACAGGGATTACAGTATCAGTACATGGACGCTGGAACTGCGGGTATCTGGATTCACGTTCTGCCTTTCTCTTAGCGAGATCTCTGACTTTGGGAAGATCCCTTCATCTTTCTGAGGCTTAGTTTGCTTGTTTTTAAAAAAGGATAATGGTTTCATGGGTTCTTTATAGGGTTATGGATAGCTCACGTCAACACCACTTTTTGAGTTCCTAAGAATTGGACCAGGACATGGAGGTGGAGAGTCTTTCCCTTCAAGGAATATTTAGTGAAAATACATGTGTAAATAACCTCAATGGCATGAGATAGGCTATTGGAGTTGTATAAACAGAGACCTGGGAGGTGCAAAGAAGGGGTTAATTAGCCGTGCTTGCGGGGTGGGGGAACATTTCGCTGTGCTGATATCTAAACCCAACCTCAAAGTTTAAGTGGGATTTTTGACAGAGAAGGGGGCAACTTTAATACAAATACAATCTTACATTTGTTTAGCACTTCATCATTTTGCTTGACATAAATTAGAGTGGTGTAAAACTATAATTTATAGCTATAAGGGATTATTTTTGCTATTCCAGGGGCAGTTGTTATTACTTTAGGCTGCTGTTTCAGTAAGACTGGGGAAATTTTGACCCTAAATTGCAGCAGCTTAGCCAAGTTTGTTTACACAAAAATTTTCAGGGAATTTTTCCATGTTGGAGGAACCAGGAGCCTTAAGAGCTTAGTTCCTCCTGGGGCAAAGGCAAAAGTAGGATGACAAAGATTAGGAGAGGGCCATTACGAAGAAGAGAAGGGGGTGTTAATTAAGTTTTTACAAAAAAGATGGCCCATTTTATAATTAGGACACAACTGGCTAGCTAAGTAATAATGTAAAAATATAGAAACCTAGATATTTCAATGCTAGTCCAACAAGGAGCCAAAGGACTCAATCTTTGTGAAATGTTGCAACCTGGGGATTTTCCCTTACAATTCTGATAAGACATGTGGCACTTCCCCTGGGAGAGAACTGGGCTCACAGCTCTGGGTTAAATTACTCGGTTCCACAGATCCTTGCCTTGGTCTAACACATCATCTATGTGATGTGAATGTTTGATGAAGTATTGAAGATTATTTGGAAATACAGATAAAAACAGTATTTGGGAGTTTACAGAAGAGTGGAAAATGGAGCCAGGAATGTAACTATAATTTCGGGTAAAGAGCAATAATGAGGTCTCATAAAAATAAACAAACATGATGTTAAATGGACTGTAGATCATTTGCACCTTGAGGCTTTTCTTAGATTTTGTGCCAGTTTAAAACAAACAAACAAAAAACCGATAATAGGTCTTGTGCTTTGTGCCAAGAGTTACTAATACACAATATTTTGTTTGCATATAATCAAAGAGACACCCCCCACCCCACTTATTTGAGGGGGGAGAAAAACAAAATCCATCCAGCTATCTAGAGCAACCAGCCGGGTTTGGGAAAAGACTTTAAGCCACTCTGCCTGGGGTCATACTGCTTTATGCTACTCTTGACTTTACGTCAAAGCTGATGTTGTTATCTAGAAAACCTAACAGCTCTAATTATTTCAGTTGTATTCACTGAGAAGTCATTTCCAATCACGTTGGAGAAATGGATTCTAGTGTTTGCAAGTGACCTCTCCTCTTGTCCTTTAAAGCAAATAGCATGTGTGTTGTAAAAGGCAATGAACAAGAAGTTTGGATGACCAGAGTTCTACAACTTGCATCTGCTAGTGCCTGGGTTTTTAGACTTTAGATAAGCCAAGTCACAGATGTGATCCTCAGTTTCTTCCTCTGTAAAGGAGGAGCAGTCATACCTACCCAGCTACCTTGTAGAGTTGTGAGGGTCAGTTGAGAAGCTGGATGTGGAAGTGCCATGCAAATGCAAGGGGCTGTAGCTTCCTCGCCGCAGTGGGCCTCTGAGCCACAGAATGACAGGATGGTCCTCAGGTACTTCATACGAAGCCATTGGTGCTTTTAACAAAAATGTTAGTTTAGTGGTACATGCTAGGGTGCAACACAGCTTTATTATTTTACTGACAACTGCCCCTGTGTATCCACTCTGTAGGACTAGATCTTCCTCTGCCTCTGAGGAAAATCTCAGTCGGTGCCCAGAGCTTGCTGCTCGCTCTTAGATAGTAAGTCCTCTGTTTACTGAGTCTTGAAACACTCTGGGTTCAGTTATAAATATCACAAATCTAAGGTAAAAATGAGAACTGAAACTCACCCACAGGTAATGCCTCCTCTGTGGGCTGAGGAATGTCTTCTTCCTTTATTCTTTCATCTTCTCCTCATTTCCACTCTCCAGGTGGGTCCGGTGGGGAGAGGGAAGAGAAGGAGGAGTTAGAAGCAGACTTGCTGCCAACCTGGCCCTGGTTTGCTCTTCCAGGGGCAGATGTGTAGCCTGACCCTTCTCCTTAGGCTGCTTCATGAACAGCTGGAGTCCTCTCACTTGCAGTTCTCTTGATGACAATAAATCCACCCCCTGAGGCGGTTCACTTGTTATTCCTCTTTCAAATCCTGGACATCTGAGGACTTCTCTCTTTTGAGATCTCTGTACCTCCAGCATGGCAGAATCCAAGATTAACCCAGGGGGCCTTGTCTTGTACTTGGCCCTGATCTGAGGGCCTGAGATATAGATCTTTGACTTATTAATAGTGGGGTATGGCTAACATACCCCACCTCAAAACAGGCGTCTTTTACTGAGCCACCTAGAAAGCAGCCTCAGCCGTAGTCTTTTTTTCATTTGTTAAAATTTTTAGGCATAAGTCAGAAATCAGTTCACTCTGACCCTGAAAATGCAAGGGACACACACCAAGCTGTCCAAGTGATCCACTGAACTCCCTCTCACCCTCTAACCCTTCTCCATGGAGGTAAAGCATTGCAGGCAAACCTAAAATTCTCTTTAAAGAAATCTCCACTTCCCAATTTCAAACTCCTCTCCTACCCCATCCCACATCTTTTTTTAGTAACGTAGAGAGATGTGGTCAGCTAAGCGTTGCAAATCCAGTTCTTAGATCCCTCCATCGCAGGTCCTGCCTGGGTGATCTGGCTCCCCATCTTGGAATATGGGTCTAGTTCTTTCTATGGTCTTGAGGCTTCAGCTGAACTTGAAAAAGAATCCAGTTTTAACATTTTGCTATATTTATATCCATGTATCCCAAACTGTAGTTTGTAGAACATTGCTTCAGAGAAGTGTTCCAAGATTCTAAAAGTTCCTGATCAAATAAACTAGGGACACAAATGCAAGATTTCCAGCTCTGAAGGTGCTCATTGCACATAACCCTACTAAATAATATGGGAAATCTATAATTTGGAACCCTGTTTGACACTTTTTAGTTCCAGTGTTCTTCAGATATATTTATCTACACGGTTGATTAACATAGTGTCTCTTTGTTTGCCTTTTGGGCGCTGCTGCTCCAGAAACAAGTTAGAGCCTTTTTTGACAAGTGAGCAAGGGTAGTCCCTGGTGAGGCTTCCACTGGGCATGGCTAAGTATATTCATACATTCCTCCAAGGTTTTCCTACTAATAGTAATGGGCCAGTGTTCATATGAATATATATTTTGGAAACAGCCAAACAGAATTGGCCATGCGGGGAAAAGCAAAAAGGTACTAATAGTTTTGTTGCCCTGTTTATGAAACAGTCAAAGATTTAAAAATTAGATAGTACAGCCCATTTGAATAGAGGTTTAGAGTATTCCAGTATTTGGTTTAGACTTTGAGAGTTTAGCTTTGATGAATTATAAAGACAAAGACATAATGACTTATTCTCACCTGGACCAGATTTTGTTCCTCCTACATTTTTACAAGTCACAGCCATCAGTTGTATAGGTTTTGAGTCATCTTAAATGTCTCTACCTTTGGACAGACCCAATTGGCCAGTTTTCAGATAGACGTCTTCTGCATTCAGCTCATTTTTGAATGTGGATCATAACTTCCCAGATGCATTTCTGAATAAATAGCTTATTCCATCTATTATTTCATTGTGTCTTGAGAGAAGATGATTGGCTTTATGGTTCCTTTTGTTCCAAACTCTGCAAGTATTTATGCTGAATAGCATCAAGTCTTAGCAGTGTGAACCGTCCTGGATTGCCTACCACTGCCCTGGTTTTAGCACTGAAAGTTCTGCATGCTGGGAATTCCATCGCCGGGATACAAAAAATCTTGGGTTTTGATGATGGATGCCAAAGGTTGGCGGAAAAATATAAAACCCATTATGGCAGCCCCGAAACATAGGCGTGGTAAGCAATGCTGTTTTTAGTGCCAAATAGATACAGTATAGATTATTCACCTTCTGTAGTTGCTGTCACTGTTTTCCTGCCTTGTGTTAGTAACCATGATTTGAAATTCACACTAATGAATCATCCACTGTTGTTTCATTCCAGTTGATGCAACTTAAGTGTACACCTTCAGCACGTCGTGATTATGAGTGTTAACAATCCATCTATTTGACTTTGTCTGTGGATTAACTGTTGGGCTTTGTATCAAGATAGTGCTAGTTTAATTTTTACATTGTGACTATTGTGACCATATTTTCTAAGAGTTCAGATCATAAAGATGAGGAGGATTGTAACACCAATGCCAGCATGACCTAGACATCCCAGAGAAAGAAGGTTAAATGGCTGTTATTTTAATGAAAGTTGGAAGGACTCATACAATTGAATTGGCCGGTAAATAATCAAACAGCATTTTGCACAGTATGTAGAAGAGAAGTTTTAAAAATTGAAAAAAAAAGAAAAAAGAATTTGCAATTGGACACGGTGGAGAAGATGTAAAGGCACATATGAAAACTGAATCTCACAGTCCTGGGATGAGACATACAAGTACTTCTAAATCAGTCAAAAGCTTTCTCGTCTTCCAAGAAGACACCAGCGCTTAGCAGGACATGGTGCCCGCTGAGTTAGCCTGGGTATGTCACATAGACAAGCTGCATTGTCATATTGTTCTTGTGATCGCTCTATGAAACTGATTAAACTTGTATTTCCTGATTCATAGGTTGCCGTTAAAATGTCCTATGCCGTTAAAATGTCGAACAAAGGGGAAATTTGGGGTAACATGAGTTGCCCCCCTAGAGAGTAGAGCTAATTTTGTCAGGTCTGATGAACAACCATGCTTTCCATGGTAGATCAAGTTACCCCTCAAATCACAGCAACAAGATAATGTTCTCTCTGGCTTTTCAGTATTTGGACTTGAAAAAGGAGCTTCAAAGGATCTTCTTGTTTTTGATGAAGATTTTAATGAAACTGCAGAAAACGTAAAACAAAAGATTGTCTAAACACAAGCTATACTTCACTCATCTATCTGCATATTGGCAGACAATACAAATGTAAATATTGGCAAATTCCATTCAGTGTTTAAAGTCCTTACCAAAGAAAATGAAACGATCTCACCAGCTAAACATCCTGTCCACCCTGTCTACAACACTGGTGAAAAGGGGTGTGATTTGCTTCCCTATGATTTTGAAGCTTTCATAATGAAAGTTTTTGGTCACTTTCAGCTTCCTCAAAACAGGCAGAAGCACTTGAAATTTTTGAAGTTATAGAAATGGAAGGAGACAGCCTTTTTCGATACGTGCGTACAAAATGGCTGTCATTATTGCCAGCCACAGAAAAGATGTTAAAATGCTGGCCTGCTCTAAATCATATTTTCAAAGCATGAGACAAGAGGAATGTCCTTCTCTAATTTGGAACACTTCGAGGGTGAGAACGGAGAAAAGGATTACAGTAAAACAAATTTATATGCTGTTTCTCCACAGTTCTTTGGTAATCTGTGAAGAGGTCACAGAGAGCCTAGAAAAGAATGACCTGATTTGTTTGATGTTATGTGTAGGATATGACAAAAGATCATACAAAGAAAAAAACTCAGTTTTTGGAAGTCAGTTTTTTGGAAATAGGGTGCTTCTGAACAACAACAACCAAAAATGTCACCACAGCACAGCCAAGTCAAATAGGTCTTTCTCAGTTTCTTTACTAAAACTATAACTTACTTGGAATGCAGCTGCGATTTCACAAGTTTGAATTACCTCTGTGCCTTAAAACTACTTTCCCTGAGAAAAAGAAGTTTAACTTATGATGGCATCTAATTTGCTCCCTCATGTTTTAAAAACAATGGACATGAACCATCTCTATGATGAATTTATAAATGCAACGATCTGATTGACAAACTGCTGGTCTGTCAAAATAAGCATGTAGATACAGAGTGAAGGAACATTTTTGGAGCGCTGGAAACCAATTCCTATAAGTCTGAGATCCTGTTCTTGCTAGTTAAGTAAACTCTGAAATGTTCCACGCTGAAGTGCTTTCGCTGACATGGTGTTTGGTTTGATGTCTCCACATTGGACTGACAGCAGAACACTGTAATGTGGGCTTGATAAGAGCATAGCCGCAAGTCAAACAGAATCTTACATTTGACTATATATTCAGTTACTACTATATAAAGGAAAAGAAGGTATCCTAAAGGCTCTAGGCAGTTCAGAGAAGTACTATTAGAAAAGGGAATAGCAGGACTAAAAATATCCTGTTATCGTAAGACAGAAAGAAACATGTCATTGTTATTTTTTATTAAATGCAGATATCTGTTTCTATTGTATTTTCATTATTCTTTTAAAAAGTCATATATTTATGTATTTTAAGAATATAGAATAAGATAATAAGATAGGAAAATTTAAATATCCAATAGAGAGTTTAAAAAGCTAAAATAAATTGCTATGTCAGAGGATAAGAAAAAACATAAAAATATTGTGAAATTTTTCTCCCATATATTATCTGTTTAGTCTTCCTATTAATTATTATTAACTGCCACTGTTAACTAGTCTTCCTTTTTGTTTAAATAATAGGATTTATATCAATGAAGGGTAAATCATATAAAATAACATGATTTCAAATAAAAATGGATTTTTCATATTTTTATGTTAAAGTAATTATATATGTGTATCATGACTTGTTATGGATTATCTTAGGGGGTGGATTCTGGCATGGATGCACACTGGGTTGGCGCTCTAAAAAGTTAGTCATCCTGTTTGTCACCAGTGTGCTTTTAATGAGCCTGTCTTGTTTTAAGGCAGGAAAGCAAATCGAATTCTCATTAATTGCCTTTTACCTGCTACAAATAATCCCTCACGTTGGCCATTGGCTGTAAAATAAGTCATCTTTGTCTTGTCCTTATTGATTACACATAAGAGTGGAGGCAGTGTTTCTAAAACCATTTGTATGTCATTTAGGAAACATTTTATGTCATTAAAAAATGTCATTTATTTGAGATTGGTTGTCTTCATTTTTTTTGTGCTAATTGAAAAAAGGGGAAAATATCAAGTTTTTAATTCTCTTAATGAGAAGCCAAAGTAGAATTGACAATTGTCCATATGTATCACTCATGTAATGCACATCACCTGCCTGCAATTTCTCTTAAAATATATTCCAAGTAGTTGGGAAATTAAACTTTTATTTTCGTTGTTGTGGCCCTCACCTACCCTCTCTTAATAATCCATAAAGACTCTCTGTTCACCTTCTTTCTGATGTTCTAAGAGCCCTTGTGATGTGTTGCTTCTTTATTACCTAGTCCTTCTCACATGGAAACCCATCTTCTGCTTTCCCACCCTCACCTCCCATGTCACTGTGCTTAGGACAGGATATCCCCTTCCTTTAGCTTTTCTGTCCTTGTCTTACTCCTACCTGTATTTCCAGGTCTCATAAAAATGCCCTTTACTTCACACAACCCTTTCCAGACCATTTTCTATGTACTTTGATGTCTCACATGCCTTCCTACTCGCCTACCACCTTGTAGTGCTCTGTGAAGTTCCACATATGCTCTTGGATGGATTGTGAGGTATAGAGCATGCCTTGTTCTCTCCTTGTGTCCCCAAGAAATACCTAGAACAGGGCTAGGCAGATTGTAATTGTTCAAGAAAGATGATGGATTAGTTCATATATATGATGGTTCATGCAAAATATGACATGGGGGTAGCCAAGTAATAATATCTCTTCTCATGGAAACATTGTCCATAATGTTTAACGGGATGTGAAAGAATAAGGCCTTGTTAAGATGGAGAAATGGGGGAGGGTAGAAAAAAATAATCATAATCCTGACTCCTGGGCTCAGGTTTTAGTTTGTGCTTTAACTTCTGGGTAGGGAGTTTACACTATGTAAAATACACACATATGCATGTGTACGCACACGCACACACACAGGGTTTAGCCTTGACATACATTTTTAATTTGATGCCAGTACTTTGTAGCAGCCTGGTTTAAAGTTGGAAAAATATCCACTCAGTGTCTAGTTGAGTTATGAGTTGAGAATGAATTTCACAACAAACCTCAGTGATTTTCCACCAGCCATACCAACCTAAAGACAATTCCTAATGACTTGGTGGCCATCGTATTGCAAAAGAAGCAGAACACAGACATGCTGCCTGTTTCGCTTAAATTTATGAAAACCCACTGAAAGGGGAATGTAGAAAGTAAACGATCCATGGTGAAGCATTGTGAATGAAGGCAGAGGTGCTGTGGTTAGCTGGGTTTCTCAATCCCTCAGATTCTCAAAGCCAAGAGAAAATTTATCCTCTTCCACTGAGACATAAACTAAACTCTTTTAGTCATTAATCTGCAAAGTTGATGCCTGCCATGGTCATTCATCAAACATTTTTGTGGAGTGAGTCTGGTGGGGCCTCTGGGGCATCCGCCTTTGAAATTCACAGCACTGTTTTGTCCCCTGAGGACGGAGTGACTTTCTCCCCTCATTGCACATCTGGAAGGGAAGTTTCTGCTTCTCTTCTTCCCTGGGCTGAGTCAGGGCCTGGAAGGGGCAGCTACCTTTTATTGAATCGTGTGCTTGGACTGTAAGGTTCTGAATACTCCTCCCTGGGCTGTCGGGGGAGAAAAGAGAAGAGAAATACTGCAGTGGAGGCACTGTTTATAAGGCACTCTTTTTCCTGGATTACAGTTCACCACAGAAAAAGAACAATTACTGTTTGAGGTGATTTTTATAGAGGAAAGAGTCTCTACATTAACCATTGTGAGAAACGAGTAGAATCCTCGAGCTGCAAGTCTCAGTTATCTACAGATAAATCAGGGAATGGTTCTGGAATCTTGAGGTCTGATCTGAATTTACAACCATGTCTCCAGGCTCAGAGACAAACAGACAATTTGATGAGAATGGACGTTTCCTACTGAGAACGTGCCCCACGGGTGCTGGGATGTCTTCTGTCTCTCCAGTAACTGTGCCTGCTAATGCTTTGCCCTTAGCGGGAGGTCTCCTGGAACCTTCCAGGCCTCCTGTGAATTGGCCCTGCTCCCTTCCCAGGCTCCTGTTCTCTGTCCCCAGATTGGCATCACACTCCAGATGCAGTGGCCACCTTCCTGTGGCTTGAGCACACCGTTGTCTTCTCCACATGGGGCTGTCCACCCTGACTAGCGGTCCCCGCCCTAAAATCTTTGTGAGATTGGCTTTTTTTTTTTTTTTTTGTCATTGAGGTTTCAGCTCTAGTGTCAACTCCTCAGAGAGGTATTCTCAGGCCACTCTATTTTTGTTTTTGTTTTGTTTTTTTAAGTTTTATTGAAGTATAGTTGATTTACAAAGTTGCATTTAATTTCTGCTGCACAGCAAAGTGACTCAGTTATATACATATATATTCTTTTTCATATTCTTTTCCATTATGGTTTATCACAGGATATTGAATATAGTTCCCTGTGTTATACAGTAGGACTTTGTTGTTTATCCATTCTGTATACAATAGTTTGCATCTGCTAGTCCCAAACTCCCCATCCTCCCCCCTCCCCTCCACTGGCAACCACAAGTCTGTTCTCTGTATCTGTGAGTCTGTTTTTGCTTGGTAGATATGTTCATTTTTGTCGTATTTTAGATTCCACATATAAATCATAGGGTATTTGTCTTTCTCTTTCTGTCTTAATTTGCTTAGTATGATAATATCTAGGTTCATCCATGTTGCTGCAAATGGCATTATTTCATTCCTTTTAATGACTGAGTAGTATTCCGTTGTATTGAGAGATATATGTATCACATCTTTCTTATCCATTCATCTGTGGATGGACGTTTAAGTTGTTTCCATATCCTGGCTATTGTAAATAGTGCTGCTATGAACATAGGGGTGCATGTATCTTTTCAAATTATAGTTTGGGTATATGTCCAGGAGTGGGGTTGCTGGGTCATATGGTAATTCTATTTTTAGTTTTTTAAGGAACCTCCATACTGTTCTCCATAGTGACTGTACTAATTTACATTCCCACCAACAGTGCAGGAGGGTTCTCTTTTCTCCACAGCCTCTCCAGCATTTGTTATTTGTAGACTTTTTAATGATGGCCACTCTGACTGGTGTGAGGTGATACCTCCTTGCAATTTTGATTTGCATGTCTCTGATAATTAGTGATGATGAGCATCTTTTCAAGAGGCCACTCACTGTAAAGCCAAACCCACCTACACACTAGTCACTTTCCATCAGTCTCAGTGTGTCCCTCCCTCTCTTCCTCCCTCCCTCCTTCCTTGCCTTCCTCCCCTTCATCCCTCCTCTTAGGTTTTTTCCTCTCCCACCACTACCTTCGCTCAGTTGTAAACTCCAAAAGAGCAAAGCCCTGTGCATCTTGTTCACTGGGATGTATCTGTGGTGTGTGTTCACTCTTCTTTTGGAACGTATGGTTTCTTTGTTCTTTGGGTGTTTAGTTGAGGGTAGCATGATATTTACAGGAAATTTTGTTACTTTTCATATTTTAAAAAAACATACTTGGATCCATGTATTTTAGGTATAATTTACTCTTAGACATTTTCTCGTAGTCAACTTATTTATTCACTTGATATTTCTTAAGTATTTACTATTCACTAAATACCTTGGCAAGATACAACAGATATCAGAAATGTTTCAGCCATCTGCATGATATCATTAAATGGAGAGAGACACATTTGAAAACAGATTATCATATTTTGTATCAAATGTTATATCCAGTTCTGTCTTTCTAGCTTCCCATTTTCTTTTTCTAACCAAACTTCTCCCACTCTTTACCCTCCAGTAAGGCTCCCTCTTCATCATCCCACCGCTGTAACTCATCTTTGCTTAGATAGTTACTTTATTCTTGAAGTGTCTTCCCTCTGCTGTTTTCTTGTTCACATTTTGTGCATCCTTTGAGGCATGTTCAGGAGTTTCCTCTCCACTATGGGCTCCATAACCCCATTAGCTCTCATTGCTTCCCTAGAGCTCTACCTTTTAGCCTGTACAGTATGAGTCTTCTAAAATTGAGAGCTTTCTACTGATGATTCTTTTTGGATCTATATTTGTTCTATGTATGTTAATATTAAAAACCCAACTCAATTCTAACTTCTTTGAGAAAGTGAACAGGCTTAACAATTCTTCTAAGTCTCTGCCAGTATCATAGGTACTGTGGGGAATGTGGTAGCAGTCAATAAATTCTCACTGATTGATTGGTATCGAAATTGGCTTGTCAGTTCCAGATGGGGTGCTGAATGAGAGCAGGTCTGGTAAAAGACTCTTCAGCATTCAGCCTCCCTGTAGATCAAGTGCAGGCAAAGCTTACGGTGAAAGGCGGTGAAAGGCAAAATTCCAATAGCACGACTATTATTAATCTACTTAAGCCATTAAGTGTTGTCCAGTATTAGATTGGACCGGAAATCCTGGTTTTCAACTCTTTCCTATTTGAATGCCCGAGAGGCTGTCAGCAAGAGGAAATGTGGAATTGGCTTTCAGTTGCCTGAGGAGAGGAGCTTAAATTCCTAGATTTATGGCTCTGCTTTACCTGAAAATTTTATTTTGCTTTTACTTTTATGTAGCAATTGAGTGTACTGTATTTCATTTGGTGCTCCTTAAACATTCTAAGGGAACTCTAAAAGTAAATATCAACCAATTTATACAGTAATGTTCATAGTGGTCTCTACTGAATGCTTCACCACACGAGTGCAGCCTAGAAGCCCCCAAAAGGTATGATACTTTCAGAAGGGGTCTTAGAGTGAAGGAGGTAGAATTTCTAGTGTGAATGTTCTGTTTGTAATCTCTGAACTCAATTATTCTAGCTTTTCTAATTCTAGTAGTAGAGGAAAAGACGGGCAGAGTGTAGAGTAGCAGGCTTGTGTCTTGGTTCCAATAACATGCCCTCTTGGGGTGCATGTGGCTGCTTCTCTTTGGCCTAAGTTTTAAGATTAACATATACACACTAATATATATATATATATATATATAATAGATAACCAACAAGGTCCTGCTGTATAGCACAGGGAACTGTACTCA